AGATTCAGACCACTGCCAAGGTCTGCTTGGAACTTGCTAAGGTCAGAAAGATATGGGGTGAGAGCCATCCAACTGAATGGAAACACCCAGTAATGCCACATTTGCAGTAACTACCCAAGGCTAACTTCACAGAGAAAAGCACTCCCAGGCTACATTTCATATCATCCCGAAGTAAACACCTCACAGGAGAAATTTGCCCCTGTTGCCCTGTATTTGCTCCTGCAATCCAAAGGGAACACTGCATTTCTCCATTTTAGGGGGAGTAGATTAATTGTACCACTGCAAATCCAAGCCACGAAGCCAGTACTGCTGGCTTGCCCAGCAAACCCAGGCCCAGTGTACTGCTTCCAGAAAGGGCAGCAGTAAAATCACCCAGAGACTCAGCAGGCATTTAACCAGGCACCTCTATCCCAGTGTCATTGAGGGAGGTCACCCTGGGTGCTGATTTTGGTTCTCAACTGAGGATTCTCCTCCTGTGCATGGACAGATGTACTGATACCTTAGGATTTATAAGACACTAACAAAAAAGGACATATTTTTTTCTTAATATGTTAAGATTAGGTAACTCCAACTCTTCTGCTATTGATAATCTTAAATCTCTCTCCCCTAACAAAGTCATGTAGGCTGTTTTTGTCTAACCTTCTGTCCCTCTTCCATTGTATCTATAGGAAAAAGGAAGATACCTTACCTCTGCTATGCAGAGTTCTCCCTTGGGTCTCCAGGAATAATGTGCAAAATGGGTGCTATGAAATTCATGTTCTTCAGTTGCTCTGAAGCCACTGATGGGTGCCATTCCCAGTAATGCAGGTTCCCTTCATTGACTGCCCTACCTCCGCAAGATCCTAGATTTCAGCATGCACACTGACTGCTGCTGCCACCATCAATTTAAGCAGCTCTCAGGCTAAAAGCATTTTTAGCATCATGTTTATGGTGAGCATAAGGAGTAGACTCAGATTCTCCCATGAAGGAACAGTCTCATCACTATCTAGCAGAAGGGACTGCGACAAGTAATTGCTGATATTTTAGCTATGTAATTTGAAATAAGACTGATAAATCATCAACTATGCAGGCTGTTACCCTTATTAATAGCTTTCATAGCTATCCACTTGGTGGATAAGGAATTGGCTGGATGATCACACTCAAAGAGTTGTGGTCAACTGCTCGACGTCCAAGTGGAGAGCAGTGATGAGTGGTGTTCCTCAGAGGTTGGTATTGTGACCGGTGCTGTTTAACATCTTTGTTGGTGACATGGACAGCATCCAGAGGGACCTGGACAGGCTTGAGAGGTGGGTCTTCATGAAGTTAAAGAAGGACAAGTGCAAGGTCCTGCACAAGGGTTGGAACAATCCAATGCACAAATACAGGCTGGGCGAGGAGTGGATTGAGAGCAGCTCTGAGTAGAAGGACTTGGGCGTATTCATGGATGGAAAACTGAATGCAAGTGAGCAATGTGCACTTGCAGCCCAGAAAGCCAACCATGTCCTGGGCTGCATCAAGGGAAGTGTGGCCAGCAGGCTGAAGGAGGTGATTCTCTCCCTCTACTCTGCTCTTGTGAGATCCCACCTGCAGAGCTGTGTCCAGCCCTGGGGCCCCCAACATCAGAAAGACATGGACCTGCTCGAGTGGGTCCAGAGGAGGCCACAAAGATGATCAGGGGGCTGGAGCACCTCCCTTATGAGGACAGGCTGAGAGAGTTGGGGTTGTTCCTGAAGCCTTATAGGAGCCTTTCAGTAAAGGGGGATACAGGAAAGGTAGAGAGGGACTCTTTAGGACAAGGGGTAATTGTTTTAAACTGAAAGAGGGTAGATTTAGATTAGCTATAAGGAAGAAATTCTTTCCTGTGAGGGTGGTGAGGCACTGTCAGAGGTTTCCCAGAGCAGCTGTGGCTGCCCCCTCCCTGGGAGTGTCCAAGGCCCAGCTGGACGGGGCTTTGAGCAACCTGGGCTGGGGGAAGGGGTCCCTGCCCAGGGCAGGGGGGTTGGGACTAGATGGTCTTTAAGGTCCCTTCCAACCCAAACCATTCTATGATCTTTATAGCCGTCACTATCTTCCACCAAACCCATTGACTCTCACTGGATTTTAAAAGCTCTACTGAATTTTTACTTTGGGACAGGGATTGCCCTTTTGCAATATATTTGTCCAGCATCTCCTTCCAAACAGCCCCGATAAGCACCAATATATCACTATCAACAAGCAGCTAATCACACTCTTCTGGAAAGCTGTTCCTAGATTTTCCCTCATTCAAACACTCTGGTCCTATAAGCAAGAAATGTATGCAGTCAGGTCTGGCTTGCAAACATTTCCAGATCAAAAACTGAAACTCCTAATAGTCTAAGTGATTTCTATTCTCAATAAAACCAGGGTTAAAGGCAGAAAAATGTCATCCTGTCTTGTAAAAAAGCTTAACACATTTACCAAACGCCTCTGGGAGAAGCATCCTGTTTTCACCAGAGCTTTATGTGGCCAATTCAGCTGTAACAGTTCTGGCTACTTTACTATCAACAATTTGACAAGTGGACTCAAACATGAAATGTTTTATGATTTCCCTTCACAAACCTGGATGAGGAAAACATTAAATAGAAAATGAAAACTGAGTTCCATTGGCATTTTTCTTTTGGACCTATTTTCCCAGGGAATTTAACTTCATTTTTAGAGGTGTGTTCCAATAGACCGCTGGAAAGATAACACTTGCTTCATTTCCGTTCCCTCCAGCCTTAAGCAACCAGGATTTACACATTTATTTTTATTCTTTTCAGATACCATAGCCTTGCCTGTTTATAAAATGTAAGAGGTAGACAGATAATTGTACTATTTCACTAGTAAACAGGGAGCTGAATATGAAACCGAGATCAGAATTGGAAACCCTGTCAGAGTGTTGGTGAATCATAGTATGAAACAAATTGTTCACTTTCTGTTCAGTCCATTAGCTACAAGGATGGAAAGAATTGCTCTCACAACGCATAATGCTGCAATTTCCTCTATTCACTTAGCACTTCCCCCTTCCCTTCTGCAAATCAGGTATTACATTTGAGATTTAATTCGCTCCCTCTAACCACGTCTTCATTCCCAACTCTGACAAACCAAGCTATCGCTCGGTGAAAATGCAACAGCTTTTACATAGCATTCATGAATACAGTGCTCTTTCTCTCCTTTGGAAACAGGGTAATGGCAGGAAAAGAGAATTATATAGAGGCCCCTGTGCCTATCCAGCTGCAAATAGCCCCCCTTTAGATTCTCCTGAGTTTTTTGAGAGATTGTGTATCAAAACTGAATTCATATTAGCCCCACGTTGTTTGCATGCCAGATTTTGTGCTGACATTGTGATAAGAAAATCAATGCTTGTCTACAGGTACCACACAGTTACCCATGCCCCTTCCTTGTGTTTGTAAGTCTGGAGGAGCTGTTGACATTTTTAATAGTCCCCAGGTGTTAGGCTCCCTAAGCAAGCTATTTAAAGCAATTCTGCCTCTGAAATAGGGCAAGGAAGATTGTATCAGTACAACTGAGAGCCCCAACTATCCTGGAGTGCTTCACTCCAGCAACAAGGCTGGGCTTACCATCCCTGGCAGAACTCCGTGCTACCACGCCGTGTTCATCCTCAGGCCTGCACTCAGCTCCCCACCTCTGCACAGCAGTGTCCTGCGGGGAACCAGCCCTGGGTGGGCACAGCAGTGGGAGCTCACGGAGCCCTTCAGGCCCACCGTTCGCTATTACCGGCCTCAGAGACAAGGTAGGATACTCTGGACAGCCTAGAACGACCACAGGCAGAGCTTCTGCGGGATGACTGCGAAGGGAGGGAGGCCTGGAACGGATGGTCTATGCCTGGCACCTACAGGGATGGTGCTGGTGGGCCTCTGTGGTGCTTTTTTTTTTCAAGCGGAAGCCAGGTGTGAGAAGAAAAGATTCAAAAGGGGAGCTATAAAATAAAATTCTTGCAACTTTTCAACCTCTCTTTACTACCTTTCCTGCACAAATGACACCATACGTTAATTGATCCCGCTACACGGAGGCCCTCAGACGAAGCCTGATGAGTTGCCCCATCACAGAAGACAAACAGTGGCCATTTGAGGCCACAGGAGCAGCGAGGAGTGGGAGCTCTTCTCTGGGACTCAGGTGGCTTCGTAACTTCTGTCCCTGTCAGTGAGCACGGGCCAAGAGTTGGATGCATGATCATGCTGACTGACACTGGGAGGAAGCAGTAAGATCTCGGAAAGGATCAAACCTTGTGGCCTCTGCATCTTCTGCACACGGCATTTTTATTCTGGAGATAACATTGCAGAAGATGCTCTTAAAAAATGCCTGCAAATGAAGTAAGGAACAGGCCTTGCGTGCCTGACTTATGGCTTTAGCTGCTGCTCCAGTAGACACAGATCCATCTCAGAAAACAGAGGCTGAGTTGAGACCCAAAGGTAAAATGTAGCCTTTCAGTCCAGCAACTATGAAATCTATTTTGAGCTACTTCTAATTGAACTGACTGGCACTGGCACTAAAATGCCTCTTGGAACACATGCTGGTTTTGCAGCAGTTGAGATTTTGACTCCCCGGTTCCCATCGGATGCAAGACACTTGCTTTTTCATAACTTTACCTGCAAGTGATTACCAGGCGTAATCATTAAAAGGGAAATTCAACCAAACTGATCCTCCAGACAAATTCCGCTAGAGTGGCAAATCCACCCTGCGCAAAACCTTAAACTCATTTACCATTAACTGGCCTTATTCACATCTCTGAGGTTAGCAATTCACTACATGGAGGGATGCTAAAGAGGGTAGTATTTTAGATGTGCCCATCAGTTGTCAAGCCTTGGGAAATGACAGCATCACATCTTCAGCATTACTGTGCTTCCATGTAAAGAAGCAAGACCGGGTAGGAAGTTTGGTGGCAACAAGAAAAGCTCAAGGCAGAAAGTGCTACCAACCATTCTATAATTAACATATCTCTTTATAATCCTTATGGAAAAATAAAATAGTAACACATTTCAAAAGGTATTTTGCAAAAGAAATCGAAAACAAAACTGATTTAATAGGAAATAAAAGTGATTTTATTTGTGCCATGCTGGTCTTATATCACCTACTTTGTCTCCTGTGGGGAAGCAGGGCTGTTTGGCTCTGGAGTGCTTTATTGCTGCTCCATTATCAGAACTGTATTCACACTGGAGCTCACACCAAAGCCAGTGGTGTAGGCGTATTTGGGTTGTGTTTCAGGTCACGTGCCAGTTTAATACAGACTGAAATCTATCTCCTGCTGCTTTGCAAACTCAACTTTTTTTTCCTCCAAAGGTGGAGTGCGGCAACAGCAGCTTCTTGTCTATTACTCTTCCTGGACATTTGAAATTTCTGACTACCTTAAAAAAATGTCCACCTGAATATCCATCACCCACTTGCATTTTAAAGTATGCAACTATGCAACCCGTTTCACTCTTATTCCACCTGAATAATCCACTCCTGGCCAAATCCCAAGCAGATGCCAGCACTTATTTTTAGTCTTAATATCTCAGCTGTTGGCAAAGAAATATGAATTCTTACTGTAAGGTGTTGGAGGGCCTTTCTAAACTAAATGTAGTTGTTGCAAAATGTTTTGAATAGACATCACTGAATTCTGATTATTTGATGTTTACTTACATTTTCTCTAGGACCAGATACAAAACTAATCAACAGAGGTTTCATGGAGTATTTCAGCTGAGGAGGACATTATTTAGCCTCTGAGCTCGCTTAAGTCATAGGAAATTGCCAATCAGGATGCCAAGGACATCTCTACAGCCTTCACTACGTCAACTAGAGGGACTCATTACTAATAAATATTTGCTAGTATAACCAGAATCTCTCTCTTAGCTCTGTGTCTCAGATGTACTTCAAAGCCCAGAAGAGGAATCTGTCACTGTTGTCCTCCTCTTTACTGAGAAGGCAAGAATTTGTCTGCAAAACATCTCCAGAGTTGGACTGGCTGATACCACAGAGTACAGCCATTATATAACAATACCTTCGCAATTTATATAGCAATACCTTCGGAATTACTCCCTTCGCAAATTATTTGGATATTTGGTTTCTACTGAGATAGAAGGGAAGCTGCCATATTTCTAAAAAGGCATGGACTGTCCTACTGAAACAAGAAGTTTCCAGGCTGCAGTGGAAAGCCTATTTCCTGAATGGAAGAACACTGCAATGATCCTTACGTGGCCCTTAATGTGACACCGGGCTGATCAGCAGGCGTGGTCCCCAAGTTCCCTGGGCCTGAACATCAGGGGCCTGAACCAAAGCTCTTTCTGGACTACAGCATTTGGTTTCCTTCCCTTGGAAACCAGGGGAGCTATGGAGAACAGGCTGCTCTGTGCCCAGATTTCACCAAGACATGAGGTCGATGTGGAGCTGGAGCACACGGACCCAGGAGCCTGGAAGAGCTCCAGGTTCTCCACATTGTTCAAGGGAGCACAGCCTTCCTGACAGCCCAAATGCAGGCACAGATAGGATGAAACATACGTTTTTATTTTGTTTATAAAGTTGAGCAGATTTAAACCTTGTTTACAAAAACGACAAAGGCTGGTTGCTCATTATCAGTCTTCTGCTGTTGGGTAGCTGTAACCAGCAGGTAACTCACACACACAGCTCTCTCAAATGGCCCATGAACTTAAAATAGAGCGCTGTAGTCAGCATTTAGGGCTACATTCTGACTACAGATCCTGTTCATACCCTAAGGGAAGACGGAAAGATGAAGAACCACTCTTTAGAACTGGTCAAAGACTGAAGGAGGGGGAAGAGGTGGACAAGTGCTTCGCAGTGGTGGCTGTTGACCATTACTGTTTTTGTGAGCTGGCTGCAGCCCTTTCATGAGCAGGCTGAGGCCTCTTCCAGGCAGTCTCTCTAAGAAACTTCAATACATTGTATAGCCTCTCCCCTAGCCTCAAGTCAGGACCAACTGTGCCGATATCACTCCTGAGAGACAGCAGCCTAACTTGTTCTCTTAAAAAATGACGGAGGCTCCGCTGTCTCCCTAGGCAATCCGTCCCCCCTGCTTCACTGTTACATAACTTAATGCTCCTTTCCTGCAATTTAAGTCCATTAGCTCTTGAGGGTGGCGAACAATTTGTCCCTTCCATTTTGCAGCTATTTCTGTGTGTTTGAAAAAGGTTATCACGTCTCCCCTCAGTCTCCTCTACTCCAAACTAAGCAATCCCAGCTTCCCAGTTCATCACACAGAAGCCAGGCTGCTGCTGGCTGGTGATAGCTTTCAGTAACTGCTGACTGGGCTGGATTTGTACCAGCAGCCTGTAGGTGAAAGCCTTCAGCAGCTTTAGCTCTCTGAGCCAGTCTGTCCTTTCAAAGATGTGAAACTTTCTTCTGGAATCCATTACAGCGTATCAGTAAATATACATTATAGTACAGTAAACTTCTGGAATTCTCTCCATCACATTAGGATATCATAACAAGAAGAAAGGAAAAGACACCTTATATCGTGAAATTGTACTGAAGAGCTGAACTCAAACAGCCTTCTAAACAGGTCTCAAAGAGTAGAGAGGGAAAAAGCAATGTATTGTGTTAACACCTTTGGCACTCCATCCCCTCTATTGAACAAATGAAATGAAATGCATGAACCACGTCTTGGTTTGCAAATGAAAGTTGGCATTTGTATTTGCTGCAATGTTTGCTGTTGTTTTTCATTTTAGACTTTGCATGGTAGTAAACAGTGCAATGCTTTACATTCATTAAGCTCGGGCCCATTTACTCTGTGCAGGCAAAGCAAGTACATATATCTCAGACCCATAAAGCATCAGTTCAGAATTACACAGGAAATAAATGAGCCTAAGCCAGAAGTCCAATTTACAGAGTCCAGCTCGCTAAAGCTAAACAAGCACCTTAGATAAATATGGCCTATTTTCAATGAAACGTTAGTGTAATTTGATAACTGTCAATAATTCCCTCATTATGCCTAAATGAGCTTGTCATCTAAGGAGATTGCTGCATGGCTGATCTTAATTTGCTAATAAAAACCGCAGAGAAGAATTTCAGCTAAGCTGGAACTATTTGATTCATAAAAGTGCAATAGTGCACTTTTTAAAGTATTCCTTCCCAGTCTTGGCTCCTGACTGGCTGAAGCCCAAAGCCGGTTTGCTCTGCAGCCTGTAAGAAGGCAGCTTTGCTATGTAAGAACAATGAGCAATTGTCTCTCTAAATCACTATTATTCCTTAGCCCATTATATTTAATTTATTTTTAATCATGTTGTATAATAGAAATAAAATCATTGGATTAAGCATATATCTAGCAGCAGGAGCCCATTATCCTTTGACAATGTTCTGTTTCATTGACATTATATCTTCATTGTAGACAGTTTCCTTGCCATCATTAGTCCTAAAATGACTATTGGATTTCAAGGGTTTCTCCCTAATCCATAATAAGATTTACTTGCTAACAGCACAAAACAAAACAAAGATATGCTTCTATTGTTTTACTGCTGTGGAATTCTTATTTTAAGCTATTCAGAAAAGTCAAGAATAAATCCAGATATTATAATTATTTGAAGTTTTCCTGTGTAATTCTAATTCAAGAGAAAGCCTCAGTAACTTCATAAGCTTTGGATCTTTGTTACACATTGTGGCTTTATTTTACTTAAGCAAGAAACAATACTTTGTCAGTTCTTGAACTGAGTAAGATCTACTATTCCTTGCACAGACATTTTTTTCAGACCAGTTAAAGCAAATCTCAGTAGAGTCTATTTTCTCCAGAAAGGGTTACGAGCAGTTCATCAGATTCCATTGGAAGAAAAAGGGAGAAACTTCTATGCCAAGGTTGCCAGCGATTCCTTTGTGATAAGTGCTAGATAATGGAGTCAGCACTAATGTTGGGAAGTTAAAAACTCCTCCGGCATGCTGATCCCCATGGGATAATTCAACAGCTCTTTATTTGTACCAACAGCAGTCACAGTTAAATCTGAAACTAGATTTTTCCACACCCTATTAACAGCAGCATTAGAATGCAGCAGGGACCATCCAGAGGAAAGAGTGTTTTCTGTTCTCATAGTTATCTTTGAGGAGGTGGCAGGTTTCCCTGTGAAAATTATCCTTACAGATTGCCTCTTATTTAAGGATAAGCTGGTACTATCAAGTGGTGCTCTTTTTATGCTGAAATTGCTAGCAACACTTAAGAGTATCTGCATGACTTTCAGCTGGCAGAGCAGCTTCAATAGATACCTATTTTCCATATAGGTAGGCAAGCTATGACACTTTCACCCATACTGACATGATCTGCATAAGCCCTGTGGTTTCCATTAAGAAGGGTCCGTACAATATAGTCAACTCTCCATTATCTTGGCTAATGGAAGAATAGAATAACACAGATAAAGGAAAGACATGCATAATTATTGCTTCCAGATAAGAGCCGGCTCAAATATTTCTGCACTGTGCTCCCCAGACAGAGCTTGTACTTCTGTCAGAGCTTGCTAACTTAGAGTTTATGAACTCAGGCATTACCTGCATCCATCTGGTACAAGCGAGGCAGCTTGGGTGTCTCTATAATTTAATCACCCCACAAGTAATCTACTAACTGATAATCGTCTTGACTCTAATTAAATAACAACTTCCATATTCACCCCTCTATATGTGCTGACAGTGATGGACCCAGCCATGCATGGCCACGTCAAGGTTGAATGTGGCATAATGAGGAAAGGCAAATTATGCATGAAATGCAAGAGGGGTATGTTCAAAAGACAAGGGAATGCGGAAGGCACACAATGATGTAAAAGGGCTTTATATTCACATCTAACAACTCGGAATTAACACAAGCACTTCTTCTCTTATTCCCAGGTAGCCTTCGCAGAGGAATTATGCTCAGGACTCTCACAGGTAACACATGCATGAACTAGAACTGTCTTTCTACAAAAATGTCAGAGGTTTGGGTTTTTTATTATGCTGCAATTACTCAGCCACACTGAACATTTGTCAGTTGTGAGCTCTCATAATCTGTAATCTCCACAGACCTTTTAGTACTGATACATAGCCTTCCTGATCTCAGCACGGGCATATAAATTGTATTGTTCAGTCACAAGAGACACTCAGTTCTGTTACAGATATATGGGCAAAACATTGTCTTTGCCACTACAGAAAGAAATACAGATTTTCTTACAAAGAAAATGAAAATGTTGCAAATAAAATTTTCTGGATTCTTATGGGAGGAAAGGGATTATAAAAAATAAACTCAGACTTGATGAAATGAGCAACACTGTTTCTTATACATGGAAATGTATCATCATATAGAAACAAAACCATCACCAGGCAAGTTTTTAATGGTGTACTTGTACATGACATTGTGTTGAGGAATTGATGATTAAATTCTGCCACATTCCATGTTGCGTTTACGAATTAGCATTGCCTTGGTTTGTCTGCACATTACAATTAGACAGAGCTACACGATGCAAGCCACAGGCCAAGCTATAAAGGGAAAATCGATGGGTTTGAGAAGTTAGCCGTATCACGTGATTTAGACTGGCTACAGACAAAGCAACTGACAGGAAATCACAGAGCCGCACATATCAAATCCCTAAATATCTGTTCATTTTGCTTAAAGCATCACATACAGTGTTTAGATCGCTGCGGAGGTCTTGGACAACATTTTCTATACTCCTGGTATCCTTCAGAATCTCAATGCTTTGCGTATATGGATTGAAATACACAGAGAAAGGACGATTGATTGATTTGGCGAAGTCCCTGAGAGATAAAAGAAAATTAACACCTCTTTTTTTGACCATTAAAGAAAATAAAATTAGATTTTTGAGTCAAGGAAAATAATTTACCTCATCTTTTCTTTGGCTTCTTCAAAACTTTCTGAAACAAAGTAAGCTTCCTGGAAAGTAGTGATAAGGCATTCCTGCAAGCAGGTTGTCTTTGGATCAAATGTTTTTACATTGGCCTTGTCAGAGAGAGCATGCTGCAAAATACACCACAGGTATATTAAAACATAATCTGATACTGCTTTGTATCTATACAACTGTTCGTATACACTTTTATATCGCTGTGATGTGTCTCCCATTATTTGGTAGCCTCTCTTGTTTTACATGCAGTGGGTTTTCAGTTTCAACAGAATAAATAATTTATCACTTAAAAAAGCTCTTTTTATTGCAAGTAATTTTCTCCCCCAAAATAATTATTGAAACAATACAGAGAAGATTATAAATGCACCTGCCATGTAGGCATTCAGACCTATATCTCCAGCTGGAAACAGGAAAGTCATCAAATAGATTTTCCTGAAAAATTATCTACACAACTACGAATAGGTACATCCCCAAAATGTCACTTAACTGGCAGAATTGATCATCGTCTTGCTGAGTAAATTGAGTCTGACCAAACCATTCATATAATCTGTGCTTTACATTTTCAGGCCCAAATCATACACTATTTTCCTGACAGTGAGTTTAAGAGTGAAACTATGTATCTGGAAAGCCATTAAATAACGCTTGTTCATTGTGGGCTGCTGAAACACATTACCCTTCTGCCATGTACACCTGAGCAATAATGCTCCATATTGTACTGCAAGGAAAAAAATAACTAAATAAACAGGCATAGATAAGCACAGAGCAGACATTGGGCAGATGAGACATCAAATGCTTCTACCCAGAGAATAAATTTCCGATTAGCCTTTCTCTTTACATGACTGGCACAAGCCAGTAGAAAGGACACAGAGGTTTAAAACTGAAAACCAGGTACTGAGATGTTTTCCAACACAATCTTTTTCCAGCTCTCCTTTCCACTTGAATGTATTAGCTTTTCGATCTACCTAACTTTTAGAGCACAGGTATTTTCATTCTCAGTGCTCTGTACAGATCTACAAGCTACAGAAGGAGAGCGTATTTAGGTCAACTTTCAACCTTCTTTACTCCCCCAATATCTATCCATAGTGAAGATGTGTATGAAAAGCATAGAGAAATGACAGGAAAGGAGCAGATCCTTGCGGTCTGAAAGTGCCTCTTATTTCTTTACTTTCTTTCTACATGGACATTCTTTATAGCAGAGTAAGGTATTAACCTTAAGGTATTCACCACACCTTTTATCCAAGCTCTTGCTCATGTTTATTCCTAAATCTCAGTGAAAGGCTCTGAAAATATCACACTAGCTCTCAACCTGCAGTCTCCAAATATCAGGACATAAAACTAGAACAAGAACCTCTTCTTCCTACCTCCCCTCTCTCTAAAAATAAACACATGAAAAATTAATGCATGGAATCTTAAAACATCATGGAATTAACTTTCTTTAGTACATGTATCTTTTCCTTCTCACAAGGTTTGTTGTTCCTAGCCAGCCATCAGTTAAACAGGTTTGGAAACAAAAATCAAAAATGGTCTGTCTTAACCAGCATCCCCTTTAAATGGATTGCAGGAACAGGCTCACCTTATTAGGCCCCTGTCTATACCCCTGTTGCCACCTGCTCCTTGCAGAAATATGATGTGGTTGAGTGCCTGTATATTTAGGCATTTACCTCCTTCTACAGAAATGAATTTGGTTTTCTTGAGTGGGAATTATAATAGACTCCCTGGGAGGTTAACTACAGTTAAAAACTTCTCCTCTTAAAGTGCCTTTGTACTTCCAGGTGAGACTTAATGCTCAAATGTCTAAAGCACAAAGTTCTAAAATTCTGAGTAGATTAAGTGAAACCCTGTGCAGGGAATCAAGAGAGTGATATGGGCCATGTTTTCTTAGGAAGTGTATCAGTAGGTGACTACTTCTGGCTCACAGATTCTTTCCTGTACTGTGACAGCTTCAACAGAAAGGGTGACAGTGTTGTCCCTTCCTCCTCCACTCACTGATCGCCCCTGCTGGGCCAGGCCTACTCTTGGGATTGAAGCCATCAGAGACAAGAAATGATTAAACCTGTGGGTCCTACATTGTGAATAACTGCTCTAATTACTGAGCCCTAATTTTATAAAAGGGGCGAGCTTAAAGAGAAGCAAAAGCTAGTTCTTTATCACAGTGGATGTCCTCTGAGAAAGCCTTTCTGGTTATCCTCCTCAGATTACCTATATTAAATGACTCCTACTTTCTGGATGTCAGTTTAGTTTATACATGAGCAGAGCTGCTGCTTCACAAAGCAACTCTGCAGAGACTGGGATGTAGAGACACCAGTAAACACACAGCCTGGAAACAGAGGGTAAAGAATTCAGACATGCCTTCAAAGTTAGGTTATTCCTAGGACTGCCATTTGGGAATGAAGTGCCTAAATTCTGATTAATTCCCACCCAAGATACCTATCCCCCTTCTAGGATATGGTCTTTTGGCTCTTGGATCAAGTAGGCCTTGTCATGGCTACCAAAGCAATGGGAAACATCTTTGCAAATCTGGATGGTGTTCTCAAATTCTGCAGCCTGGCATCTGTAACATCTGCTATTGGAGTTGATACGCTGATACCAGCCATGCCAGAGTTCAGTAATTGATCTGAGCCTGCAGACAAACCTTCAGACAGACCATAAACTCTCTAGTGTGAACTAGGACAGTCAGGACATTGACCCAAAGCCACACAAATTTTTTTCAGAAACATTACAGTGTTCTAAAATGTTGGTCCATGGCACTCTCAATATTATGAAGTATAGAATCTCAATGAAAAACTTTGACTGGTGAGTCTGAAAGCTTTCAGGCTCAGGCCTGTGTTTTTTTAATGAATGCTATTCATTTATGTTTTGGTTGGGAATTCAGTTCTTCAGTGAACTCAAATCCAATACAGATTTCTCCATCAGAAACCTCTTCAGTTATCCACCTCCAATGAGATGTCAAGGCTAACAATCATATGGAACATACCTTTCAGTCAAATAAAACATCTTACCACCTTGTGGATTTGGAGTAGCTGTCTCTAATGGTCCGTTCATACAACTTGTACTGCCTATGCTAATACAGCTACTGGTGAATCCCCTTCAGTTCAAGCAACAAGAGTTTGGAGTGAAACTTCGAAATGAATCATCACTGATTCCCAGGAAAAGCAGCAGTATCAGACAACCGGACAGTTTAAGAATTAAGACAACTATCCATACTGGAAATAAGCACAGCACTAAAGAAATGCCACCACTCCCTGCTAGATCAGAGGTTAAGAGAGTGAGGTACCTAACCACAAGTCTCTAGGGCCTAGGATGTCTCATGCATCTGTACAGGGATGGAATATATAGCACAGGACCTAAAGAAGACTTACACATTTTCTGGAGCAGCAGCTGGAAAGCTGGTCAGATATACTGGGGCATCTCAGATGGCACCAGACATTTACGCTGAGCAACCATGAATCATTTCCTAAGTGACCACTATCACTGACACATGAAAAAAGAGTTTGGTCTTGTAATTTCTCCTTTGAGTATAAAAAATGAAGTGTAATGATACAACTTGGAGCTTTTCAGTTCCACAAAAAAAAAACCCAAACCCAAAAAGCAAAATCTTCAGCTATCAAGGGGAAAACTTGAGATGAGTTATAAATACTGCACTGTCTGAGGAGTACAGGAGTGCAGAATAAGAACAGAGGTGAGAAGTTGTCTGTGTGCCAGTACTGATTTTATCACCTTGTTATTCCGGGGGGAACACAGAGTCTTGGAAAACCTGCTCTTACATGTTTTTTCTGCTTATCTACAACATAGGTTACAAATCTGACAGTGTCCTGATTTTACCAGAATTTTTTAATTTCATTAGTACAATATTATATATTCTTTTGACAAATAAGTAAAAGACTCTCCATTTAAAAAGACCATTAAAATGAGCATCTGGGATCTGACAGGTGCTTTCTCTCATCTTCAGCCTCTTCAGAAAACATAGCCAAAACTTGTATTTGAATCTTTTTGGCTATAAAGGCTAATACTGGCTCTTCTTAATATAAATTATCATTAAAACAAAATATGACTAGATATTGTATTTGCTTTAAAAATCTATACAGAAAGATTTGAAATCTACCTCTCTGTTAAATATAGAAGCACATAACAGGGATATATGACTTGATCTACAGCCAAGCGAAGTTGATATGAGACTCCTTTAATGAAGGAGTTCAAGAGAGCATCATACAAAGCAAATGGATTAAAGTTTCCAAAGACATTTGGACTGTCTTTTAGAAATAGTTTTAACAACTGAAATGTACATTATTTCTGCCTTATCTCTACGCCCCAAATATATACTGTGTAACAGCGTTAGCTAGAGTTAACCTGACTATTAGGCAGAACATTTTATAACTACTTACTGTATTATTCTTTTCCCCCCAGGCTTCATTTTTAATCTTATTTTGTTGCGCTTTTAAATTTTTTTTGCTTGGTGCTTCCATAGCATGCACATCAGGAGTTGCATTTTTCAGTATCCAAAATTTGAAGTCTAAATGCTGACTGGGGAAAAAGACTTGAAGGAAATCCTATATTGATAGGTCGGTGCCCACATTTCTCTAGCTTTTATAGTCCTTTGTTGCTAAAGATGTTGACCAGATTTGCAGAGTGAAGTAGTCTAATATAGAAACAGGGATGACTGAACAAGCCATTCACTCATCTGTTAGGCGTAAAAATTGTTGGCCACTTTCACCCTGCAAATAGTGCAACTTACTTATTTCTAGAAATTATACATAAAATTGGCCACCGCTTTGTTTCCTGTAAACACTGTTACATTGAAAAGACTGCTGACAGGGAGGGCAGCTAGAGAAAGGCTTTTCTTCTTGCTGACAAATGCATATTAATATCAAATGCTTGTAAAGTCAAGGTAGCAAAATTCAGCATCAAAACAAGATCTACCGTGCTAGAGACAAGGATAAATAAGTATTTGAACTTCTTCATAGAAAGGACTATGGGCCCACAACTGCCGTTGTCTTAAGAATGGCATAGTTATTTCTGAAAGGACTTCTTCATTCTGAGTCCTATGAGAAGTATGGGCGTTGCACACAAGGGTCAGACTTCGTGGTCATGCAATCTCAGTCTCCTATTCATCCCCGTTCACCACAGAAATAGCCAGTATTGTTGTCATCATTTTCAGATCAACTGCTGCATCCATTAGGATTTCAGTTACAATCAGGATATTGATATCATCAGAATATCAACTACAGTCTATTATATTAGCATTATCTTTCAGACACCTTCAGGTCAAGGAAGAGAATTTCCCTCCCAATACATGCTAGGAGATAAGGGTGGAGGTAAGGGAGGTTGCTTTCCCAGGACATCAGAGACTCGCAATGGCTTGACGCAAGGCTGTTCATGAATGTCACAGGTGCCCAGACTTTTTCTTTCTTAAGCACCCGTCTGATTCTGTCAACAAACACCTCTTGTTGACAAGAAGCACACTCACTGCCAGGTTTCCGGTCTAGAAAGAGCTTCTCCCACAGTCAGATTAGCAGAAAACTTAGCGGCTTTGCACTTTTTTTCCTTATCTTTTAAATTATTTTCTACCCTGGACCTCAGTCCCACAAAGACTTTCCAAACATTTTTCACCTTATCATTTCCTTCATGGAGAGCATGGCACACGAGTGCTAAGTCTCTCAGTAACTGAAATGTCTAACTTAACCCCCTAAACTCAGGATATGCAAGATCTGGTGAAATTTAATAGCTTATGATACACAAGAGGTCAAACCACATGATCTAATAGTCCCTTCTGGCTTCACATGTATGAAATATATATGTAGTGTAATAGAAGTGTATAATACTACTGATTTATGGCAAAATTATTATGATATATGGCCATACCTTCGAAGCAGATCAATATAGTCCATTAATGTGCACATTATTTAATTTTTATTGTTGCTTTTAAAACGGATTATTCTTTGCATTTATACTCTGAGATTATTGCTGAGTGAAGAACACAGATTTCAGATCACAAATGTGTGGTAACAAAATATGCACACTTGACAAGAATAATGTGTTTGTTTATGACACTGATGGTAGAAGATTTATTATGTTCTTGACTATTCATTTCCTCAGTTTTATGCTCTTAGATTTTGTAAATGATGTGATAGGTATTTTCAGGGTCATCACCTAATGACCGTAACACACACTTTAAAAAAAAAAAAGACTGATTCTCTGCAGAATCCTGCATACAGTTTGGGGCTTGTCACTGAATGTTGTTGGGCCAGAGGAAAACAAGTGGGACATTTTCATGTCTTTGTGTTTAACCACCTTTGCGCCATGGGCATAAAATATTGCGAGGCTGACAGAGAATGCTGCTGTGGCTGAAGTATGCACTGAACTTAGAGCAACTGTAATGCAATCAAAGAAGAAGTATTGGAGAAAGCTATTTTCTTTGGCCTTTTTTCTACTAATGGAAGAACAGCAATTTGAGTGACAAGCTTCACCATGAACACTCTTCAGTTACAGGTGAAACAAACAGCAAAAAGAGACTGAGATACTTCCATTAAATTGCCAGGTAATTTACTGAAAGCCAGCCTAGGAGGGTGGGAAGATGTTTAAACACAAACAGCACATGTATTGCAAAACAGTTTATAAATATTATTCTGTATATTATTTCTAAAACCAAATGTTTACCTGAAAGCCACCTAGAGTTCATTTGGGTCCCAGAACATAGCACTCCTCCCTCTCCTTCCCCTTCCCTCCCATCTTGCCAAGAGAGAGATGTATTATGTCCCAAAATACTACACTTGTGACAAAATACCCTTTGCTTGTTCCCTATGTTTTCTAGGCATAAAAAGAGGCAACAAATCATCCACTACAACTACTCACACCATGCAAGGTTAAATGCTTCCACCTTTATAAGAATAGGACTCTACGTACTGTCACATAGGCATGTACTTCAAGTCTAGCATGAGTTCATATGAATTCCTTAATTTTAAACATGATTAATCTACTGAATCAGAGCCTCAGTAAATGTCGTTCTTTTAATATCAATAACAAATCCATTGCAATACATTGGATTACTTACAACAGAATCACGTCTGATTTCAAAACAATTTTTTTGTGTGTATTGAAAATATATGCTTTTCTTCTAAACAAAGCTTTCAGAGCCCAAGGCACCCTTACCTGTTAGAACGTATGAGCCTCCTTTTACAAGAAATGCAAATTCAAACAGAAATAAATTTTGTAGTTTATAGTTGCTTTGGTACTTCAGTTCTTACAAATCCATTTCATGCTTCAAGTGCCAGCTGATATTTCAAACAAAGCTTTTAGGTCAAGATCACATTTTTAAAGTAAGCGTTTTATCTTGAGAACTTTAACTATTACTTGAAAATCAAAATATTTACATCCAATGATTATTTTGTTAAGATCAAGAGAAAGTTTATTTCTGCTTTAAGTGCACATACCTTTAATTCACCAATAGAAGATAAAAGTCCTGCCCCATAAGCACGTAGTTGTCCTTCTTGCTTGCAAAGGCCAAATTCAATCGTAAAAAAATAGCACTGTAAAATATACAGATAAACAGACACATGTAGTATAGTTGCAAACAGGCAATTCAGCAATGACAATCAGTACCATATTCACTTGATTGCTTCACTTCTTCAGAATTTCATGTCTTTAATATAAATTCAGATAAAGTATGTTATTACTGCTAAGTACTTTAAATGCCATGTTCTGCAGTAAGAGAGCTTCACACAAAAATGTGAGATTCTGCATTTCTTCTGGGCACCCAAGCAGTTCAAAGGAATGGCCCGTTAGGAACACACAAGCAAGTTCATTTAGGTATCAAAGGCACTGATAGTAATTCTGCAGAGATTTTTGAAACTTTCTGAAATAAATGAGGTGCCTTAAAATAAAATCCTACAAGTATCTGGTCTGCCTGTTTAGGAACCTCTGAAGATGTCCAAGATCTATTTCAGAGCACTCCGCTGTAAACTCAAGCCAATGCCACGTTCAAGTCTGGCACATATTTAACTGCTGTCTTGACTTAGAATGAACTTACTTCCAGGAATGTGCTTAAGAGCCTTCTTGAGCCGAGGCCTTAGTCTTCACTAGATTTTACTCCGTCATAAATTAACAACACATATGCCACTTGGCTTCTTAAATTACAGACAGAAAATTACAGTCAGTTGAATGAGTTCACTTGACCAACCCATTACAATCACTCTTTGGGTCTACATTCAATCAGGTAACATATCTGAGCTGTAAAACTGATGAGAAGCTGTGAAAGAGATGTGCTAAATCAGCATAACAGTACTGCATCTAATTTTGCTGTATCCACCCAGCAAAGTTAAATGTTAGGAAAACTGTAAGAAGCATAGCCAGCCAGCCCACTGTTCACTAAATGTGAAAGAGTCACTTGTGCTCCTATGGTACTGAGTTTTAGTTTGGTGGTGTTATGACACATCAAGATTGCTTTTTGATGTTAGATCAAACAAATGAGATTAAGCTAGTAACTATTTCTACATATGAAGGTTTTAAGAAGTTGATTTCTAACTTATGCAAACATATATATATATGCACACACATATCTATATATGTGTATTACATTATCTGACAATTTCAGCTTTTGTGCAAAGGGACATAACTCCACTGAACCTAACAGATTTACATATCTTTGCAGGAAATACGAATTTAGGATAAGAAACAACCCAGTATTTGGTACTAAACCTTCTCTGAATAACTTGAGAATGGATCCTAACATGATGGGGCTTTTTGTCCATTTCCTCCTTACAGCCCCCACTCTTCCAGGCTGAGTATCATGGTAAATGCAAAAGAGCAGAAATTAACAGCTCTTTTAAGTTCAACAAATGTTTAGAAATTGAGAAATGATTCATTTCTCTGCCTCTCATAAAAGTTCCTGTAGAGCTGGTGATTCATGCAGCATGGCACTATGTAGAAGGGTGTAATAAAAAAGAATAAAAACACATGTCCTGTGTCTGATCCAAACCTGCTAAGTCAGCTGGGAAGAAGGAAAGGTTGCAGTGACTTCAAATGTCTTGAGTCAGATTCCATCACAGCAGCCAAAGGCACAGATAGCCACAAGAGGAAGTGAAAACACAACACTGTCAAACAGAAAAAAAAATCAAAGCCCCACCTCTGGCTTTGCTATTGACTCTGATAAGCCAAGCTGGCATAAAATTTTTCATTAGATGCCATGAGCTGATGTCAGCACTGAGAGGAAGCCCAAGACAACTGGTTTCCAAAGAACACGTCTTGGGGACAAACAGCCAGGTACACAAAGTGACAAAGGCATCACTGTAGGAGTGATGAGTGAAGCTGAGAGACCTACTGCCAAGAAGAGTACAAACTTAGCTTCCCTGACCAAACATTTTTCCAGAAAAAGCCTTCAGAAGGCTACAGTCCTGGTTCTGTACATGCTGCCACTGTGAGCAATGAACCACTCAGCTTTACACTTAAATCCCACTAATATCTTAGAAATTGCCCCATCCCTCTCAACTCTCTTAAAAGAACTATCAGGCAGTAGTTCTTATGCTGTGAACATGAACACCCTGACAGATACACAGCAGGACTGGGCTCCTGATAAAACACAGTGATCACAGTCATTTCCATTCTTAAAACCAGCAGCAGCTAAAAAGGAGTCTGGTTATAGATGTGTATGAGCAGCCATGACTTTGTCCTGGTATGTGAGACACCTTTACTGTAGGCTTTACTCTGAGGAGGCCCAAACCGATGTCATGCTGCTCCCAGGAGAATGCCCACTCTGCAATCTACGGGACCAGCGGAGAGAGGGAAGAGAAACGCTCTCCACTGCCCTGAGGATGTGCACTCATGGGGGAGGAAAAGGTAGAAGGCAGAGAGCTAACACTGGCACGAGAGAGAGCAACCCCAGCTGCCCAGGGATAGGGTGTTCAGAGACCTCAATTTCACTTCCTCCTTGATGGATAGACAGCACACAAAGAGGGAGCTTTTTCTACTTACATTCAAAAAATATTATAATTGTTACTATTAGAAAAGGGAGTAGTCATATTTATGAGCCAAAGCTTGCTGATGAGAGCCTATCTTCATTATTGATAAGGCCTGCACTCTCAGTATAACTCACTCAAATAAAATGCATACAAAATGACCGAATGATAAAATACATCTGCCTTCTACTAACTTGTGGTATTAAGCTATAGCACTAAGAAAGCCCTTCAAACAAAAAGCTAATTTAAAAAAAAAAATTGCCATATGGAACAACTACAGTTTCTGTATTTAAGAGAGCTCTGCTTAGCTAAGAAAATAAGATAGCTCACCCAATGCTGCCATCTTCAGATCATTAGTCAGCAATACATGATTCCCCCCACCCTCCCACTCGAGGACAGACACGCGGAGGTGGCTCTGTGCATTATGAGTCTCCGCAGCCTTCGGCAAGCTGTGCTCTCAAGTCTACACACACCGAAGCACACAGATAAAGAGGTTAATTATTAACTATATAGACACACTTTTTATAGACCAGATGCATAAATACTCACTATATGCTTCTCTTTGTATAGTAAACTATACTGACTGTGCTAGTCTATATTATATACAGGATAATTGCACTGGAGTGGGAATGACAAAGAAATGGCTGTTGAGATGAATACATTTTTTAAAACCTCACCTGATTGGAAATAGCTAATTATTACACTGTTATACGTAGGCTGGTGAGCGCCAGCACAACTGGGGGCATGCAGGCTCTCAGGTTCTGATTTCAAATCTTGGACCTGTCTCTGGCATACTCCCCAGCCTGTGGCCCCAGACATGTGGCTCCCCCACAAGCTACAGCAATAGCCTCCCATCTCCCTTCACTTCCAGTTCTACCTCATCTTTGCAGTTCTGCTACAACCTCCAGGCAGCCTCTTGAAATAGGAAAGGTATCTTTCCATGTTGTATCAATTCTGTATTTCTTAAAGAGCCTTCAACTAAAATGCCGCTCCATAAGCCAAATCAGCAAAATAAGATGAAGAATCAAAGTGCCAAATGAAGGATTAAAAATAGTTTTTAAGCCAAGAGACATCAATGTAATGATCAAGACTATGCCAGGAGCGCAAAACAGTGTATGGTATTATTTTAAATTATTTCTCTTATTTAACAAAAGTATATGAAAGATACTTTAGTAACACTCACAAAACACTGTCTACTTGAGTTCAAAAATTATTAAATAGATCCATGGAAGAAAATCCTGTTAAGGGCTATTAAATACTAATATAGCAAATCTCTTCCTTCAGTGTCCCTGAATCAAAAGTCATTGGCAACTCAAGCAGTATATCAGGAAAATATCACCACCCTATGGCTTTAGACCTACACTGTCCTCCAGATGTCTGCAATTTGCCAGCGTCACAGACAAGATACTGGGCTACCTGGCCTGGCCCACTATATGTGCAACTGTAAATCAGACCAGTTGTCCTACTATCGACAGGAAACTTACAGAACAGACTGAGCCCTGGAAAACTCCAAGCCTGGTCTCCAGAGTAAACACAATGTCTATTCTTCATGTTCAGGTACTGTCCTGCATTATAAACTAGACTACCAAAAAGAAAAAGAAAAAAATCAGTGACAGCTATGACAGCTCATAAAAAAAAAAAAATGTTATTCAAGGGTGTTCAGAAATTTTCAAAGGCAGGAAAAAAGGTCTGATAAGCTCAACTCTCCTCATCTGACTGGCTTCTAAGGCTTTGAAAATCACTCCTCACTTCACATCATTTCGTACTTGGAAACCTCCCTCCTGGTACCTGTGCAAAGAGCTTGTGCAGGGTGTTGGGTGCTAATGTCCCAGAGTCAGTACTTCAAAATCTGACTTGCCCATAAAAAGGCCTTTCAAGCCATTCCACTTTGCTTAGTTTCCTTATGGTATAGCTTAGAGACTGATATTTGTGTTCACTTGGCAATTTTCAGCATGATGTATAACATGAGATTTCATCTGTTCTCTAGAAGTACCTTGTAGAGATGTTGTCAGGCTGAGTCCTGAGAACACCAACCACGTTAAGAGCTGATTCACTTGCACTCCCTGTTGCAAGGGGGAAAAAGGACAGATTAACTGCACGACTGCAACCCTAGCACATGGACAGGAATATTCAACACTACAGGAACTGCTAATAGGATGGGGCTACAGCCTCAAGCTGACACACAGTAGCACAAGCAATCACTTTAAATATATATATAAAATTAGTTGCCATGAGGACAATACAACTAGTAACATGTAAACACTGGCCAGACCAGTGCCAAATAAGTATCTTTAAGAAACATCTTTACATTCTTTCTACTGGATTTAAGATTTCAAAAGATACTGGAATGGACCACTCAATTCAGATGCATGTGGTATGTTCACAACATGCAAAGATTAATTCCTTTTTCTTTAGAAGAGGAGACCTTTGATATTTTAGCTCTAAAATTATTCACCTAGACATTAAATCTCTCATATTGTTGTAATTATCTGGTAGGAAGATTTCTGTTAGAAATTAATCCTAAGAATTAATGAAGTAAAGGTGTTTTCTTTCCCCCTGTAAAAGTTGCTCAAATT